TATGTATTATATATTGCGAACCTGTTCGATATGTATGTGCATATTATGTAATTTCTTGGAAAATACAGTACAGCTCCCTTACTTGTGCCACGGCGCCTCGGTTCATCCAGTCTAGTGCATCCTGAGATATATAATGTTCCAGGCGCCAGATAGAACATAATTATCTATAACTATATTATCTATAGCTATATATGAACTCAAAAATTAGCTAATTGAAAACTCTTCTAAGATTCACAGCTCAAAAATTTGTACTATTAATTTTGCCTTTAAAATGAATTTACAAATAACTCCACTTTGAAACATTACGTTTAAGCTGTACAAGTTTTTTCTTGTTAACATTTGATATACGAGCAAAAGCCTACTAAACTTATCGCATTTAGCTTATAAAGGTCCTGAGGTATATGACGCTTACGATCATAGTTAGCATATATGACTATCGCTAGTTACTATTTGCATTCTTGTCGCTTGACTAATGGCTGCTTTTGTTCTGCTTTCAGTTGGTTCGCCGGCGCAATCGCCGTCATCTTCATCCACATCGTGTTCCTCCACCGTGCTGGTGTCCAAGGCGACGGGGGTGCCCCTGTCTATAGCCTCATCTGCGGCACTGGGCGGCTCCACAATAATACGCAGCACGCGCAATCATCAACAGCAGCAACAACAGCAGCAGCAGCAACAGCAGCAGCAGCAGGCAACGAGCAATTGTAGCAGCAGCAGCAATGTGCGTGTTGTAGCTGGACAGCAACAGCCGCGTAATAACCACCGAAACCACCACCGACGTCGTCATCTGGCGGATATGGACGATGATGATGATGATGATGATAATAATGASGAGGATGAGACGAGCGTGCAGTTGCGCGCAGCCACCAATGGACATCATCATCATCATCATCAGCAACAACAACAACAACACCAACAACAACAACAACAACAGCAGCAGCTAAATCACAATCATAATCACAACCACCAACAACATAATCACCAACAGCCGCATCATCAGCAACAACAGCAGCAGCAGCAACATCATCATAACCATCAGCATCACAATCATTTCGATGATGATGATGATGATGAGAAATCCTCACCGTCCTTGGCCACAGCGGCCATTATCAAAGTGGAACCGAATCTCTATTCATCCGGCTCTGGCGATAATTCCAACGATATGTTCATCAAAGAGGAAGTGATGTTCGAGGATTCCGCCGCACCACACTCGCCCCAATCGCCGCCCAGTTCCAAGTTTCGCATATCGAATTTCGAGAATGATTTGGTCGACCATCATGTGGACCTGAGTCATTCGCTGCCGCCATATGGCAATCTGTTCGAACCGCACTCCATACCCGACAGCATACCCGTGCAGCTCTATCCGGACGACGACGATGACTTTCGGCTGGATCACAGCTCGCTGGGCGGCCTGCACAATACGTCGTCCTCGACGACCGACGGCGACTTCATCAAAAAGGAATGGGTCTATGGCAGCGGCACGAGCAGCTATGCGATGAACGGCAAGTTCGACGATGACAGTGATGCCCTCTGCGATGCGGCCAACTTTATATACAATTGAGTGGAAGCCAATCGGGAGGAGCGAATGTGGAGAAGGGAACGGCAGTGGTTGAGGCGAGTTCACGATGTGGCCATGTCGTGCAGCTGATCCTGATAGGGCAATAAGAGGAGGAGATGCAGAAGCCGGAATAGAAAGAGAAGGAAGATGTGGAGCAGGAGGAGCAGCAGCTGCAGCAGCAACAATAAAATTCGAAATATTGACGCACATATACACACACACACACACATACACATACACCTTACATGTTTGTGTGCTTGCATACATATACGTATATATATATATAGATATCTGTGTATGTATGTATATATATGTATCTGCCCATTTATCCTTAACGAATATATATGTATCTATAGATATGTATATGTATTT